ATCTCCTACTGGGGATGTGCCCGCAACCCAGGTACATGCCCTTGACTGGAATCGAACCTGGGACCTTACAGTCCGTAGGCTGACGCTCTATCCACTGAGCCAAAAACGGTTTCGGCAATACTTTCAACAATAAAGATAAATTAAAAAAAAAAAAAGAGTACTGGTCCACTCAGCGTTTAAGCTAGGAAACATGTGTGAGACCACACATCCTGGTGGCTACAGCACTAGGCCACAGGGCTTGGAAGGAAACAGTTTTATTTTGAGCAGAGTGCAAAGACAATGCAGCACTTCGCAGCTACATTGTAACTAGATCCTGCTTCTATTTATTAAGGAAATAATTAGATATTAAGTGTCTTAATTAGCAATGCTGGGGAATTGCTATCACATCAGAAACTGAAATTCCTGGCACATATTTTTCTCAGAAGCCAGTCTAGCCCTAGCCAATTTAGCTCAGGAAACAGAGCACTGGCCCAAGGGCTGAAGGGTCTTGGGTTCGATTCCGGTCAAGGACCTGTACCTGGATTGCAAGCTTGATCCCTGACCCTGGTGGGGAAGCGGGTGGCAACTGATTGATGTCTCCTTCACATCAATGTTTCTCTGTCTCTCCTCCTCCCTTCCCTTCTCTCTAAAATCAATAAAAAATATCTTTTGGTGAGGATTAACAACAACAACAAAAGAAAACAAAAACAAAAAAAGAAGCAGCCCATCTACCTTTGCCCCATGTTCTGAAAAAGAACAGCCTATGTACTTGCTGGTCTCTCATAACTCACAAAGAACATACAATTTCCTTCCCTACAGTATTTTAGAGGAAAATCTCAGAGTTCATCTCAGAGTCACAATAAAAAACCATTTTATTTTTCTCTCATCCCTATTATCAGAAGAGACCAGTCAGAAATTCATTCTATTAATTTCGCCTAAATACAGATATTATTGTACCTAATCTAAGAATAAAATACCCTGGACAAAAAAAAAAAGTTAATCTTATTTTTTCTACTACCCGGTACCATTATTTTCCTTCTTGTGTTTATTCTGCTAGCTTTATTACAAATATTATACATAGACATGATACTAGGTTTTGCTATTTTAGCACAGAGCTTAAATAAGGTTAAAAAAAATCATGGCTAGGCTGGCTGATGTGGCTCAGTGGATGAGCACTGACCTATGAACCAGGAGGCCATGGTTTGAGTCCCCCTCAGGGCACATGCCAGACCTGTGGCTTGATCTCCAATGGGGGGCATGCAGGAGGAAGCTGATCAATTATTCTCTCTCATCATTGATGTTCTATCTCTCCCTCTCCTCCCTTCCTCTCTGAAATCAATACAAATATATTTAAACAATCCTGGCTACAATTTTTAAGTATATCAATTAGAATAACATTACCCTCCTTCAAAATTATTATAAAATGTTGAACCTTTCAAGGGTCAATTCTTCCTTCTTCACCAGAATTTGAAATGGATCTCATGAACTGATGACTTGCAACAGATCGACTGGCATCAGGCAGAAAGCAGCACAACCTTAAAAAGAGACAATAACTAATTATGTTGACACATTAATGAAGCAACTATAATAGTTTTCATAAATAATACTTGGAGAAAAAAATGTTTGAGACCAAGCGTCCCTGTCTTACTACGGAAATGAGTCAGACAGAGATTGTAGGAAACACTTACTCTCAGCAGGGGGAGGGTCAATATAGCACTTCACAGCTATATTGTAACAATTAACCCAACCTGCCAGCTACAGAAAAATCATGTCAGACCTCAATACTTGTATTTAATTTCTGGTAAATCTCATGGATTTGATCTCTCATCTCTTGGCTCAACATATTTATTTGCTTCATCCAAATCAAGCATCTTGATCCATTTTGGAAAATTAAAAAATAAGTCTTACTTAAGTGTGGGTTGTGCATAGAACCTTCCTTCCAAAGATTATGGTATGGAACAGGCAGGGAAGGGGAACTTTACAGTGGAGAAACCTCACACATACTACCTCAGCCAGATGGACAAGGTCAATACCAAATCAAACCCTTGATGTAATGAGAAAATAGCACTTTAACTCTGTGGTCTTCCTCTCCAAAACCCCTAACCCAAGTCTAACCTTAAGAAAAACATAAATTTCAAATGTAGGGCATTCTAAAACTATCAGACCAATACTCCTCAAAAACTGTCAAGGTAATCAACCCAAGTGGGATCCTGGAACAGAAAGAAAGTAGGTAAAAATCAAGGAAATCTGAATAAACTCTGGACTTTGGTTCAAGATAATGTACCAATGCTGGTTCATTAATTTTAACAAATGTACCCTACTAATATACAATGTTAATAATATGCCTAACTGGGTGCAAGGTATCTGGGAACTCTGTACTGTCTTCTCAATGTGTCTGCAAATCTAACACCATTCTGAAAAAATAAAGGTTATTAAAGAAAAGTCTTGCCAGGTGGCATGGCTCAGTGGTTGAGCACTGACCTATGAACCAGGAGATCACAGTTTGATTTCCAGTCAGGGCATATGCTCGGGTTTTGGGCTTAATTCCCAGTGTAGGGCATGCAGGAGGCATCTGATCAATGATTCTCTTTTATCATTGATGTTTCTATCCCTCTCTTCCTCTCTCCCTTCCTCTCTGAAATCAATAATAATATATTTTTTAAAAAGTCTTTGTATCACCTCTAGATATTCATGCATGGCAACTGGCTTAAACAATTAGGCTAATTATTTTTCTTTACCATATCCCACATATTATGGTTAAAAAATACCCTAGGAAAACATGGTAATACTTACAAAGATATCCTCTATTTAACGTCTCCTGTTCTCCCTGGAGTACCAATAACCAGTATGTGCTGGGCCAGCCTGCATTTTTGCATTTCATTATTAAACAGCAATAAATTTACAACTAATCAAACTGCTTCAGGATAGACTCCTTTTAAGTGTCTCATTTTTAATTAGATTTTTGTGCCTTTTCAAACTTGGGATCCTGTTTCTTAAAGGTAAAGTATCAAAACGAACATTTCCTATATTACTCTTCTGTGTGTAAGACATGTAAATAGTGAATAAGCCCTGTGTTAACAGCTCCAAGGCAAGATGTTCTGTATGTATTCACTGATTACCAGTCACTTTAAAAATAAGTACCTTTTCAATAGGAAACTGTATACAGCCTTGATCTAAATAAAGCCTACAACTTTGTTGGGGCACAGGGCAGGCCACCCCAAAATATCCCACCATGGCATACTGATTACTTTGAATTAAAGTTACTTGACAAGCAGCTGGTGCAGGAAGGGCCCATTACCCTGGCTTGTTACCTTGAACGCAGGAAATTCACCTCTGCAGTTAGAGGTGCACTCCTTGCTGCAGGGAAGCTGAGGGAGACACCCTCATCACTAGAGGTAAGGAATCCAGGGCCGAAGAGCTTACATAAACAAAACATGTTACTCCTTCACTAACTTACTGCCCAAGCCCAAACTCACTAAAGAGCACCCAAACCCAAGTGTATTTATCTTGTCACTTCTTCGAAAACATAGTTTCTTTGTCTAAAAAAGTTAAAAAAGCTGGCTGGTTCATCCTTTCTCAGAGCATCTTTACAGTGGAGAGTCCTCACAAATATTACCTCAGAGAGGTGATCAAGGTCAACACCAACAGTCAAACCCTGGATGTAATGAGATCCCTGTGATGGGAGAGAGAAAGGAATCATAGACTTTGATGGAAGTTGGAAGGGCACAGATGAAGGTGGATGGGCAGAGTTTCTGGCAGGAAGCTTAGCTCAGGTGTTCTATTTTCTCAATAACATTGGAATCATTTGTTGAGAATGGCTTGTAGGAGATTTCAGGGTTTTGAAAAGAGTGAAGAGGACTTGATACAGCATTTGCATAAATGGAAGAATGAAAGCCCAGGTGAAGTTGACTACCATGAACTAATTCTTTTTTACCAAATCTTCCAGTGTACAAGTTTCTCCAGCTCTTCTATAAGTTTGCTGCAGGTACAAAGACATATAGTTGGATTCATCCATGGCTGAAGTTTTCTCTGGTGGATAATATCTAATAGTCGTTGATAGCATTTATAAATCTTGGGGGCGAGGAAATAGGTTTTTGTTAGTTATGATATTACAAATAAACCAATGGCCAGATATGTTAAGTGATTTGTTTATGATCACTTGGGTAATAAAGAGTGGTTGCAAAAATTAGAACTTGACTCTTCAAAATTACATATTCCTTTCTAGGTGGTGAAAATGTTTTGTAGTTTTTTGCAGAAAAGTTCCCAAGAAGAATTTCAGGGAACAGTTATTAAGTAAACTACTTTAACACTGTAAACCCTGAGGATATAAAACAATATACAAAAACGTAAAAATTCTAAAAGCTTGGCCTCTAGTTTTTAAAATATACTCAGTATACCTCACTGAAAACAGTCACTGATTATACACCCATTTCCTGACTTCCACCATAACCCTGTAGTCATTTTTGATGCTGGTAATGTTTCTTCCTGTTTACATATAACACAATAAAAGTGAAAACATATAAAATTATACACGAGGAGCAATGAAAGATACAGATATATAAATATTTTTTTGTATTAGCCCAGCTTACAGATATTTGATCTGGTAAAATTGTTATATTACAGACTAAAATGTCTGCTTTAATTATTATTAAACAGTATGTTTCTTTTCACTGAAGCTCAAGATATCCACAATAATATCCTTAACTGCTTGGCTTTTTTCAACTTAAGATATTATAAATGTAATGATTATCTAATGACTTATGCCAAAGACCCACACTTATCAAAAGTCCAATTACAATGGCTAATAACAGGTAAAATTACTTTTAATGTCCCAGACAATGGACAAGGATTTAATACAACATTCCCATGAAGTGGAAAATTATTATCATCTCTACTGTAAAGAAGATTCCCATTTGACCCTGTGATCCCACTTCTAAGAATATATCCCAAGAAACCAGAAACACCAATCAGAAAGGATATATGCATCCTTATGTTCATAGCAGCACAATTCACCATAGCTAGGATCTGGAAACAGCCTAAGTGCCCATCAGTAGATGAATGGATTAGAAAACT